GGGATAGCTAGGAGGGGACTTTTCCCGCCAACCCGTTGATAATCAGCCGGGGGGAGGTGTGCGACGAGAGAGTGCGCAAGACAGAGATGTGAGAGGTTTGATATCCCGGAGAGAAACGGGAAGAGAATAGCAGCAGCGATTCGCGGAGGAGGACAGTGAGGGATGGTTCCTGTAGCCCAAGGCAATGGGCGGAGAGGGAGGTTAATTGAGGTGAGGATGCCAAAGGAGCCGCACAGCAGGGAGAAAGTTGAATGGATCAGTCACCATGGGAGGGGAATGGGAGGGGAATGGAGATGGAGGCAGATGGAGAGTGAAGAGAGAGGGCAAACGCGAAGTCAAGTATCGCGACATGGCAGGGACAGGGAGACAGATGGCAGATGGGACAAGAATGGGATGGATTCAGTGAGAGAGAGAGAGAGCAAAAAAGAAAAAGAAAGAAGAAAAAGAAAAAGAAAAAGAAAAAGAAAAAGATGTACTGGGCGGATTGCTCGAAGTACAGACTGCGCAGTGCATACAAAGTACATTGTACAGTAAGTACTTACCAGGGTTGGTTGGTGGCTTTAAGCTACAGCCCGGTACACCGCATGGAGGCCATACATTCACGTATATAATATAATATACCTAGAAGCGGACTGAGGGCGCAGAGAGGAATAGACGCTCTATCAGTATGGGTAGGTATGGACCTCTCTTACCGATTAACCTCCCAGTCAGTGCCAGTACCTTAAGCTGTGCTGTGTGTATGGGCTAGGACCGCCGATGCTCCCCTAGCTGTCCGTGGATTGCCCGCTGGATAGAACAGTGTGCTCTGGACAAGCAGACAGACCATGGATACTGGATGGGGTGGGAAGCGCAATTCTGACGCCAAACACGTGTGGATGAAGCGTGAAGATGAGAGATGAGGAAGAGAGGAAGAGAGGAAGAGAGGAAGAGAGGAAGAGAGCTGGAAGGTTGAAAGTTGTAACTTAATATCCCACATCCGCTGTGAATTACGGACCACGAATACAGAGGTGCTTTCAATTATTCCGACAATAAATAATTCATATCTGTGCGAGATGTTAAACGTGTCGTCTCTGTTATTCTCCTTCTTCTTCTTCTTCTTCTTCTTCTTCTTCTTCCTCCTATTATTGTTGTTACTGTTGTGAGTTCTATATATAAAAAAAATATTAAAAAAAAGGGATTGTCAGTCTCTCCCCCCAATCAACAAACATGACGTTTGCCAGTTAACGCACAAAATCGCCTAGTTCTAGTAACGTTAACTTAACTAGTCTAGTCTAGTGGGATTGGATCCGTCCGCGTTTTCCAGCCAGGCCTAGCTCCCTCTTGGCGAGATCTACGCAGCAAATATCATTATATCATCCATTATTATTATTATTATTGTTGTTGTTGTTGTTGTTGTTGTTGCTTCGGATGAAGAGAGAGATCGTATTAATAATAATACCTGAGCTCTCTGTTCTCTATCTGTCTGGTCCATGTCTGATTCCTCCCATCGCATCTGTCTTGTCTTCCTGTGCTTTTCGACGGTCAAAAGCAGGCAAATCAAAGTGTCAAAAGTGTCAAAGTATCTATAAAGTATCAACTACGTCCGAGTCACCAATTACGAGGCGCCATCCACGCACGTTGTGGCTCGCTCTGCAATCAAACCAACTGCAAATCCAGCATCGAGCATCCAGCATCCAGCATCAAACCCATCAACCCATCAACCCATCATCCCATCATCCCATCATCTCCCATCATCCGCCCATGTTTCCAGTCAGGAATCCAATTCCTCCTTGAGCCCTGGGCTGGGGGGTTTCGGGCGAGGTTAAAAGCTTGTTCTGGCAGCGGTGCTTTTTCTCGCATCAACCACCACTTCCTTATTTTTTAACTATACATACATGTACATGTACATGTGCAATTCTGTCTGTCAATTCTCTTTTCACATACGGAATGCTTTGCTCTGGACATCCAATGGAATATCATCACTAATTAGCACATAATATTGAGATACGCACAGGTGCAAATGATGTTTATCCAGCAACACACACAAGCTCCAGGCTCCAGCGGAGACAAGGAGAAAACATGTGATAGAGTACAACTTGATTTCATGACTCTGATGTTTAACATCTCACTCTATATACAGTGTGTCTAACTACTGCTACTACTATCTATCTATCTATCTATCTATCTATTGACTCAGGGAGCATCTACGGAATATAAACAAAAAAACAGCATATCAATTATCTGAACAATTTACATGCTGGAAAGTGGAACAACAGCTCCCCTCAATGACATGACATATATTATTCTGATCACTGACCCCGGTTTTACTTCTTCTATCCACTATCGGTTTTATTTTGACAGTACAGACTTCTGAAGGCGCTTCCAGATCATCGAAAAATGACCCTCGTTATCATCCCGAGAAATCCTCGTTACCCATTCTAGATCCCTTTTAAGCTCTTTTTTTCGAGTTTGAAGGTGGTTAGAAACTGGTTTTTCCTCATGCCTAGCTAGAAATCACCTTACTAATTATTCAAACCATGCCATGATATCATATCACACAGGGTTCGACATGCCCTTCCCTTGGCTTTCTACTAGTCTTGAAACTCTATGTAGAGTATAGGCACAATATGATATATGATAGCTCTATGTCATGCAATATTTCTGATTGAATTAGTTAAAATACTTACTGTAGAATACTGAGGCAAAAGTGCTCAATCACCACACCGGGCTTTACTGGTACTTAAGGGGCCAAACAATTTCATATTCGTATGTCAACAAATACCCGTTTGTTTATAAATTATGCCTGACACTCATTACAAGATTATGCTTAGCACATGCTTCCATTTACAGTACAAATAATTACAATGTTTGTAGCAGATTGAGAGGTTCTAAAGAAGATAGAGAAGCAGACATTACCTTCTCAAGATCTAACCATTTTGACGCTCAGCAAATTCCTGTTCTAATCACATTCACACTCTGTAGAACCCGCACATTTTTTCTAGTGTGCAAACTTTAGAACCTGCCTACCTACCATTGCTATCAATATACAAATCATTGTTATTACTGAGTACCAGCTTCATTGAAACAACTTCTACAGTTGTAAGAATGTATATAAATTCACACACATTGTGTTTCAAAATAAATAAATAAATAAATAAATAACAAATAAAAATAAAAAGGAATCAGTTGACATACATACCTACAGAATCATCCTTTCTTTTTTTGTGCAATGCATCTACAATTCAACCTCTACAGTGCGGCGCGCGACGCGCAACAGATGTTAGCAAAATTGAAAATCTTGATTCAGGTTAATGTAAACATGACGTGGTAAATGATCAGATTTCATCTCAAAAGTGAAGAGATCAGAGATCAGAGAAAGAATAAAGAATAATAAAAATATCATGAATGAGCATGTCAAATGATGTTGTTTATGAATTTTCTTCCAGAAATATCTTCTTATCATAGTAGATGGGGGGGCCTAGAACAGTAACAACAGTG